AGGTGGCCCTCCTGGCACGCGATGTACAGCGGCGTGACGCCATTCTCCTCGGCTTGGTTGATCGCCGCGCCAGCCTCGAGAAGCAGCGCGGCGACCTCGAGGTGGCCTTTCTCGCACGCGATGAACAGCGGCGTGGCGCCATTCTGCTTGGCTTGGTTGACCGTCACGCCCGCCTCGAGGAGCAGCCGGGCGATCTCGAGGTGGCTGTTCTGGCACGCAACGTACAGCGGCGTCAAACCGCTAGAATCTGCTTGGTTCACCGCGGCGCCGGCAGCGATCATCAGCCGAACGCAGTCGATCTCGCCAGCCAGGCTCGCAGCGCTCAGCGGCGTGGTGCCGTCCTCATCAGCTTGGTCGACCGCCGCGCCAGCCTCGAGGAGCAGCCGGGCGATCTCGGTATGGCCCTTATCGCACGCAACGTAGAGTGGTGTGGCGCCGTCATCCATGGCCTGGTCGACCGAAGCGCCGGCATCGCGCAGCAGCCGGGCGATATCGAGGTGGCCCATCTGGCACGCGGCGATCAGCGGCGTGAAGCCGCCGTTCATCGCTTGGTTGATCGCCGCGCCGGTCTCGAGGAGCAGCGCGGCGACCTCGAGGTGGCCTTGGTGGCACGCGATGTACAGCGGCGTGGCGCCTTGGGCCTGGGCTTTGTTGACCGCCGCGCTGGCCTCGAGAAGCAGCCGGACGCACTCGAGGCGGCCCTGATAGCACGCGGCGAGCAGCGGCGTAAGGCCGCCAGCCGCGGCTTGGTTGACCGCCGCGTCAGCCTCGAGAAGCAGCCGGGCGATCTCGGGGAAGTCCTCCTGGCACGCGATGAACAGCGGCGTGACGCCTTTCTCATTGGCTTGGTCGACCGCCGCGTTGGCCTTGAGGAGCAGCCGGACGCACTCGAGGTGGCCCTGAGAGCACGCGGCGAGCAGTGGCGTGGCGCCGTTGTTGCGGGCTTGGCTGACCGCCGCGCTGGCCTCGAGAAGCAGCCGGGCGATCTCGGGGGAGCCCTTCTCGCACGCGATGTACAGCGCAGAGCGGCCGCCGCCGTCAGTCGCCCCGACGCTTGCGCCAGCCTCGAGCAGCAGCCGCACCGCCTCGGCCTGCCCGTGGCGCGCGACCCAGGTCAGCAGCGTGTCCTGCCTGTCGGTGTCGTGCCGCGCGTCGAGCGTGCCGCGCGTCCGCTGCCCGGAGAGGAAGGCGCGCAGCGCGGCCAGGTCGCCCACCGCCAGGTCGGGCAGCAGAGTTGGGCTCGCGGCGCCGCTCATGCGCCGGCGAGATTTTTTCTGGTTTGGGTAACAAGAAAACTCAGTGTTGTCCTCCCAACCCTCCCTTGGGTTTTAGGTATATTGTTGGCAAATCAAGACACAGAGCTCACACAGAATCACCTTGGTTTCTCTGTTTTCTTTCTTTCTTTCTTTGGGCACCCTGCCCACAAGGGCGACGGCTAGCGAGCGCCTCTCTCTCCTCTCCTTAAAATCCCTGTGTGGTGGCGGCGTGCCGTGCTCCCATCCCTCCCTGGGCTTGTTTTCTTTCTTTCTTTTCTTTGGGCACCCTGTCGTGTGTGGGGGGGGGGGTGGGGTCTCTCTCGCCGCCTTCCGGCGGCGGTGGTGAGTACACCACTCCAACAGACCCGTACGACGCGCAGGACCTTTGACCGTGCTTGCTTGCCGTCCGCGCGGTCAAGAGTCGCGCGCGCGTGTGCTAGAGCAAATGCCCATCCGCTCTTAGCTCTAGGCGGCCGTGCTGATTCCCGTCCCTCTCGGGTCTGGCACAATGTCTACCGTGCCGGTAGCATGGGGCAGTGACCAGTGTGGGGTGGGGTGCGGTGTGGGGGGGAGGCGTTCTTGACGCGCTCGACTCTCAACTCCGCCTCGCGTGCAAGCATCTGCGCATTGATGCGCTCCATCTGCAAAGCCTGCAGCGCGATGCGCTCCTCCAAGACATTCTTGGTCCCATCATCCGCGAAGGTAGGAACGACGCCGAGAAGTAGCATATGTGCCTCGCAGCGCCGATCGGCAGACGCAGCGCGCCGATCGATCTCGGCAGAACGTCCGCCGCAAAGTATTCTCCGGCAGCTGACCCGCACCTCTCGGTCTCGCGGCGGCCGCTCTCAGACCCTACTTTGGATCGCTCCTCATCGCAAACAAGAAGAGTCGTGATTTCTTGTTGGTGAATAAAAATCTCTCTCGCAAACCCTGTCAGCAGTTCACCCTCGGGTATGTTCGTAAGAGCTACATGCTGGAAATGATGGATGCGGTTGGCGACAAAGCAAAACCGCATGTTCCGGTGACTTTCGTTCCGCCGGTCCCGAATCGCGTCGACTCGTACACACACAATGAGAGGATGGGACGGTGGCGGAACCTAAAGGTAGCCAGGTCCCGATTCCGACCAGGCCATTCGACCAGGTCGAACGAGACGATGAGGATTGGCCAGCCGTGTTGATAGTTAGTTAGGGGTCCCGTACCATGCGGTATGCGGACGGAATCGATCGACCCTATCCAGTGCTCAAGTGCTCAAGTTAGTGGTTCCCCAAGGAACCCTTCGCTGTCGCTCCTCATCCAGTCGACGACGTCTTTGTCTTTAAACAAATATTAAAACTAATAATAAAACATAGCAGAATAATAAAACAATCACGATCGGAATTCGATTTCACGGTGATTTTCGTGAGGACCGATTTCGGGGCCGAAGGGGGAAGAAGCTGAAGAACCTTGCTCCGATGCCTCGCACCACGCGAGCGTCCAGGACGTGGTTCATCAGTGGCTGGCCGGTGACCGTCTCTGCTGGACACGCAGTGCTCCCAGAGGGCATTACCCACCTCCCGGACGGCGCGTTCAAGAGTCGCACCCTTGGGTTGGTTGCCGTCAGCTGCCCGAGCAGCCTAATATCTATCGGAGCCCGCAGCTTTCACGGATGCACCGCGCTCACCTCGATCTCCCTCCCGGCCGGTCTCCAATCGATTGGGTACCGCGCATTTGATGGTTGCTCCTCGCTAACGAACCTCTCCCTGCCCGACGGCCTGACCGCCATTGGTGGCCAGGCATTTCACCGCTGCTCCTCGCTCACCGTCATCAGCCTCCCGCAAAGCCTCGCCTCCGTCGGCGACTGGGCCTTCGAGGATTGCGTCTCACTGGCCTCGGTGACGTTCCCAAGTGGCCTCGCGTGCCTCGGCAACGGGGCCTTCCATAGATGCAGTGGCCTCACTGCCATCGACCTGCCCGCGGGCTTGACCTATCTCGGGCACGATGCATTCCACGGCGCCTCCTCCCTCACTCGAGTTGCCCTCCCCGCCGGTCTCACCTCCCTCAGTCGCTCGGCCTTTGCTAACTGCCGGGCTCTCTCCGCCATTCTCCTACCTGCTGGCCTAACCTCCATCGGCGACTTTGCATTCTCCGGTTGTGTGTCGCTGACAACCGTCGCCCTTCCGGATAGCATCACTTCGATCGGCGAGGGCAGCTTCAACGGCTGCACCTCCCTCGCCCGTGCCACCATGCCCTCCGCCCTCACCTTCATTGGCTTCATCGCTTTCCTCCTCTGCCCCGCCCTCGCCCATATCACGGTGCCGACCACCGCTGAGATCGACGTGCGCGCCTTTCCTCATACGACTGTCGTCCACCGCCTCTCACCCGCGAGCATGCGCGCCCAGCAGCAGCTCTTCTTCCTCTACAAAGCCACGCTGGCCTACAAGCGCTGCCGCCCCGGCCTTCTCGGCTGGCTAGAGCGGGCCCAGATTAGGCTCGGCTCGTACTGTGAGAATGGCGCGGCGCGCAAGCGCGACCTCGCTGAGTTCGAGAGGGACTTCGCCGTTCAGATCTAGTTGTGTGTTGTGTAGCCGTGCCCCTAAATGAACGCCGCCTGCGGTTGTGTGCCGTTTTTCTCCGAGATCTTTTTTTCGAGAGTTGTGCGGACGCGCGGAAAAAGTGAGGGAACCGCGCATGATCCATGAACCGGGATGAGGGATAAGGGGAACCGCCGCGCACATTGGCTGCTCAAACACACGTTACATCATCTCCTGGCGTGTTGCTGAAACGCTGCGCGCGCTCAGGGAAAGGGAAAGGGAGGGAGAAGGTGTGCGCATGGTGAAAGCTTGACCGGATGCTTGGCCGGTGCCCAGCTTCTCGGATCCGCTGTTGCCGAGCGCGGTGCGTAGCCGGACGGCGTCGTACGGCATTAGCAGCATTAGCGCCGATGCGACGACGGCGCCGAAAGAGACCACGTACCCCTGGACATCCCCTCGCGTGAGCCCGACGGCCAGCAAGATACCCCCGAACCCCGCCACCCACATCCCGAGCCGCACGGCGATGAGCGGCGCTGCTCCCTTGGCCAGACTGCCGGCGGCCGCCGCGCGGCGCTGCTCCCCAGGCCAAAAGTGCTCGGCCAGCAGTGTCGTGGGCGAGTCGCGCACCCGGGAGATGGGCTTGCCTACAGGTTGAGAGATCGTCTCACGCGGCCGATCGTGTGACTGCACCTGCCCTTCCGTGGATGCGCTCACCAGTGATCGGGTCGGCCGCGACCCCTTTCGTCTCCGCCTGCTCGGACGCGGCGATGATAGCCTCGTGCACCTCTTTTGAGATGGGGTAGCACCTGATCAGAGGGTGGGCCGTCACGAGCGTATGGTACACCCTGCCACCTCCAGAGGGTTGTGCACCACGCGGCGGCGAGAGCCCAGATGAAGAGCAGCGTCGGCAGGCCTACAATGCGACGCCACTCGAGCGGGTCGGTGCCAGTGGGGCGCGCGCTCATTCTCCGCGCAGCGAGATGCGGAAGGCCGAGCATGAAGATGCGTACCGTCCACAGGACGCCTTCTGAGTCTTGCTGCACGCACGGCGCGAGCCTGTCCGGATCGCCGTATAACGGCGGCGCGTCGAAGCCATCGCTGCACGCGTAGGCAATGTCGCCGGGGCACGACCAGCGAAGGTATGGCGCCTTGCACTTGACGCCGCAGCCACACTCGCAGCCGCCTATCGGGAGTCCGAGCCTCGGGCTGTGGGAGTGCATGGTGAAGCGGCTCTGGTCGTAGCTGCCGTTGTTCTGGAAGCCCCACGCGGACATCAGACATAGCGGAAGGCTTCCGCCGATGATCTCGATGAATTGCTGCAGATTGGTCTGCTCGGTCGCATGGAGACGCTCAGGGCGCAGTGTATTCTCATATCACCATGGTGGGATGGGCTCGCCTCGGCCACGGTGTAGACAGCCTCAGCGCGGCGCCCGGTGTGCATGGCATCGTAGTCGATGCAATCGGCCAACATCGAATCCATCACCATAAACGTGACCACCTGTACAATCACGAAAGGCTTCCAGAGAGTCGTGCCACGCGACGATCAGTCCCAGCATTACGCAAGTGACCGAGCCCATCCCGACCCCGATCCCAATCACGACGACGAGAGCAAAGGGCGCGTCGGCAGGCGGCCAGACGAAGCCGACACCGTAGATGATGACTTCGACCGCCTGTTTACACTTGAGAGCCGCTGTGAGAGCCGCTCTTGACTAGCAGATGCAGGAGGACACCGCCCACCGAATTGGCTAGGAGCACCGGCCTCTTCCCAAAGCGGCGCGCGAGCCACCAAAAGACCGGGGTGGCGGCGAAGGAGAACACGAGGATGATCACGTTGACGAGAAAGAAGAGTGAGGCGTTATCCTGTAGAGGATTCAGCAATATCACAGTGGGTGCCGTCTTTGAGGGAGGGAAGCGAGGAGTCTTTCCTCGCGCTGCATGCCAAAGCGGATGTAGTAGGAGAGCATGTTCGAGGGGAGCAGCGCCGTGAGGGAAAGGGGCACCTGAATCATAATAGCCGAGATGAAGCGGAGGAGAAGCCGACAACCAAGATCTCTGCTCGAGGAGTAGTCGAGGTGCCTTAATCAGGAGGTACTTTAGGTAGGGGCCGTTGCGCAGCGCGCGGTGCGCGGCCACCACAGGCGGGATCGGCGGGTCCTCGTCTATCTCGCCGCCCGTGCCGTCGCCCTTGCCGTCGCCCACGCCGTCGTCCGCCGACTCGTTGCGCTCGTGCACCAGTAACAGGAGGACTGCGAGGGCCGCGCCCGAGAGGGTTGCGATCACGAGGGCCTGCAGTGCACGGATCTGAGAATGTCATGAAATCCTTAGATCCGGCTCGCCCAGGGCTGGACCTAGTCGGCCTGCACTGCGTAAAGGGAGAGCACGTCGTTGGCAAAGTAGCCGGCGAGGAAGAGGCCGCAGCCGTTTGGCACCATATAGCCGACGAAATGGCAGAACACTTTGACGCTGAAGAGTGTGACACGCTCAGAATAGTCTGACGTGAGCTCCATGCCTAATCGCAGTCGTGTTGACGCTGAGGACAATCACACGAGAACACCTTGACACGCGCGCTCTCCCGCCGAGGGCATCATAAGGAATCATGGTGCAGGTCCACGTGAAGAAGTAGTATCCGAAGTAGAAAATTGTGAACCAAGTGGCGAGCGCGGTGGGAGAGGTCGCGGCCACGCCCTCGCTGTCGCTCCCACCAGACCATGGCGGAAGCGTCCCCGCCTCGATAGCCTCGTCAATGCATGTGGCGAGCGAAACGCACGATGTGATGTTGACGGCGGCGACATCACCACAAGGGACATCGTTGTTCTGTAGAGTGGCGCAGGCACGTGTGAGAGCGGCATCTCACCTCACCGCCGAGGGGAGGGGAGGCACGCGCCTGCGATGCGTGCGCGGCGCGAGCGAACGGCACTGGATAGACGAGGAAGAACATGGAGATCACGCCGAGGGGGAAAGCAAGAGCTACGAAGGGCTTGCGCCGCCCCCAGCGCGTGCGCACCTTTTGCAAGGCGGCGAATCGTCACCTCATGGAAGAGGGTGTGTGTTGAGATTGCTTGACGAGAGGTCGCACGGCTCACGTTATCAGAGGCTGTGCCGACCAAGAATCCGAGCAGAAAGTCGAACGATTTGCAAACTGAAACGATCATCGCCTGCGCCATCACATCCATGCCGAGTGCCTATGAGGTGGGTGAGGTCAGTTAGTTCAGCAGTGTATCACGTGCAGTCAGCAATGTATCATGTGCCTGGGTGTAGACAGACGTCCGGGCCGGACGGACAGTCAGGTCAAAGCCGGATACGGCCGTGCGGAGGAATGAATAAGCAAATGCTGTGCCCTTTGAGAGCTTCTCGTTGTAGCGCACCGCCGGTGCCATCAAAATTTGGAACAGGACGTTTGGAACACTTGGTCGTTGGTGTGTGTGCGGCCCAAGCAGAGTGCGAGGCGAAAACCGCGGCTGTCCGCGACGCAAAGTAAATTCACCCACTCAATTAAAACTCCTGGGCTCTCAATGCCTAGCCCGCCGTTCTGTCAGCCGCGGCCCGCATGTCCAGACAGTGCGGGCCTCGACGCCACACTAGGTCCATTGGGTTGAACCCTGGCTTGTCTCGAAGGTGAGGTATAGAGGGTCACATGGGGAATGCGAACTCGTCATGATGCGCGGCGACGGCGGCGTCGATATCTATCGACGCCGCCGCCCCGCGCTCCAAAACGGTCGCGGCGCATTGCGCACAACTAGGTACGTGCCAACCCGCATGGGCCAGACACCGTCAAAGGTCCCTCTCCACTCCTCCTTGCACCACTGAAGCATATGCAGCTGATGTGAGCAAGGTCGCCTAAGCGGCCCCCCTCGCTGTGGGTTGCCGTAGTTGGACCAATGCCACGCGTTGTGGCGAAGATGGCCTTATGCAGAGCCTGGCCGGGCCGTCTTCGGGCCCGGCCGCCCTAACAGTACGACGCATACGCGCCGCGACCGCTTCAAGTGTCGCCGCCGCCGCAAGGCGGACGGCGCCCGCCGCCCAGCCAACAGTGGCTAGGGCGGGGGAAGGGTGGATTCGAGCCGCCCGCACGCTCGTGCGGTAGGGAGGCTCGTGTAGAGCACGCCGTGCGCAAGCACAGGTGCGCGTTTGAAGCATTCGAGTCGCAGCAGCGAAGGCTGCTGTTTACTGGTTTGTGGCACGCCACGCATCTCGCGCGGTGAGTGCTGAGATACGCCCCGAGCACGATCGCCGGGGCGGCTGCATGACTAAAACGACCCGTGCCGTGGCACAGGTCGAGTAGAGAGGGCCGCACACGCGTCCTTGCGGGCGGCCCGTTGTGAAGGATCGAGCATACCGAAACGAGGTGTGCTCGTGTTGCAAGTGTCGCCGCCGCCGCCGGGGGAAAGGTGAATTCGAGCCGCCCGCACGCTCGTGTGGCCGGGAGGCTCGTGTAGAGCACGCCGTGCGCAAGCACAGGTGCGCGTTTGAAGCATGGAGTCGCAGCAGCGAAGGCTGCTGCTTACTGGTTTGTGGCACGCCACGCGTCTCGCGCGGTGAGTGCTGAGATACGCCCCGAGCACGATCGCCGGGGCGGCTGCATGACTAGAACGACCCGTGCCGTGGCACAGGTCGAGTAGAGAGGGCCGCACACGCGTCCTTGCGGGCGGCCCGTTGTGAAGGATCGAGCGCGCCGAAACGAGGTGTGCTCGTGTTGCAAGTGTCGCCGCCGCCGCAAGGCGGACGGCGCCCACCGCCCAGCCAACAGTGGCTAGGGCGGGGAAAGGTGGATTCGAGCCGCCCGCACGCTCGTGCGGTAGGGAGGCTCGTGTAGAGCACGCCGTGCGCAAGCACAGGTGCGCGTTTGAAGCATTCGAGTCGCAGCAGCGGAGGCTGCTGCTTACTGGTTTGTGGCACGCCACGCGTCTCGCGCGGTGAGTGCTGAGATACGCCCCGAGCACGATCGCCGGGGCGGCTGCATGACTAGAACGACCCGTGCCGTGGCACAGGTCGAGTAGAGAGGGCCGCACACGCGTCCTTGCGGGCGGCCCCCCCGGGCCCGTTGTGAAGGATCGAGCACACCGAAGCGAGGTGTGCTCGTGTTGCAAGTGTCGCCGCCGCCGCAAGGCGGACGGCACCCACCGCCCAGCCAACGGTGGCTAGGGCGGGGGAAGGGTGGATTCGAGCCGCCCGCACGCTCGTGCGGTAGGGAGGCTCGTGTAGAGCACGCCGTGCGCAAGCACAGGTGCGCGTTTGAAGCATTCGAGTCGCAGCAGCGGAGGCTGCTGTTTACTGGTTTGTGGCACGCCACGCGTCTCGCGCGGTGAGTGCTGAGATACGCCCCGAGCACGATCGCCGGGGCGGCTGCATGACTAGAACGACCCGCGCCGTGGCACAGGTCGAGTAGAGAGGGCCGCACACGCGTCCTTGCGGGCGGCCCGTTGTGAAGGATCGAGCACACCGAAGCGAGGTGTGCTCGTGTTGCAAGTGTCGCCGCCGCCGCAAGGCGGACGGCGCCCACCGCCCAGCCAACAGTGGCTAGGGCGGGGAAAGGTGAATTCGAGCCGCCCGCACGCTCGTGCGGTAGGGAGGCTCGTGTAGAGCACGCCGTGCGCAAGCACAGGTGCGCGTTTGAAGCATTCGAGTCGCAGCAGCGAAGGCTGCTGCTTACTGGTTTGTGGCACGCCACGCGTCTCGCGCGGTGAGTGCTGAGATACGCCCCGAGCACGATCGCCGGGGCGGCTGCATGACTAGAACGACCCGTGCCGTGGCACAGGTAGAGTAGAGAGGGCCGCACACGCGTCCTTGCGGGCGGCCCGTTGTGAAGGGTCGAGCGCGCCGAAGCGAGGCGTGCTCGTGTTGCAAGTGTCGCCGCCGCCGCAAGGCGGACGGCGCCCGCCGCCCAGCCAACAGTGGCTAGGGCGGGGGAAGGGTGGATTCGAGCCGCCCGCACGCTCGTGCGGTAGGGAGGCTCGTGTAGAGCACGCCGTGCGCAAGCACAGGTGCGCGTTTGAAGCATTCGAGTCGCAGCAGCGGAGGCTGCTGTTTACTGGTTTGTGGCACGCCACGCGTCTCGCGCGGTGAGTGCTGAGATACGCCCCGAGCACGATCGCCGGGGCGGCTGCATGACTAGAACGACCCGTGCCGTGGCACAGGTCGAGTAGAGAGGGCCGCACACGCGTCCTTGCGGGCGGCCCGTTGTGAAGGATCGAGCATACCGAAACGAGGTGTGCTCGTGTTGCAAGTGTCGCCGCCGCCGCCGGGGGAAAGGTGAATTCGAGCCGCCCGCACGCTCGTGCGGTAGGGAGGCTCGTGTAGAGCACGCCGTGCGCAAGCACAGGTGCGCGTTTGAAGCATTCGAGTCGCAGCAGCGAAGGCTGCTGTTTACTGGTTTGTGGCACGCCACGCGTCTCGCGCGGTGAGTGCTGAGATACGCCCCGAGCACGATCGCCGGGGCGGCTGCATGACTAGAACGACCCGTGCCGTGGCACAGGCCGAGTAGAGAGGGCCGCACACGCGTCCTTGCGGGCGCCCGTTGCGAAGGATCGAGCGCGCCGAAGCGAGGTGTGCTCGTGTTGCAAGTGTCGCCGCCGCCGCAAGGCGGACGGCGCCCACCGCCCAGCCAACAGTGGCTAGGGCGGGGGAAGGGTGGATTCGAGCCGCCCGTACGCGCTCGTGCGGCCGGGGGGCTCGTGTAGAGCACGCCGTGCGCAAGCACAGGTGCGCGTTTGAAGCATTCGAGTCGCAGCAGCGAAGGCTGCTGCTTACTGGTTTGTGGCACGCCACGCGTCTCGCGCGGTGAGTGCTGAGATACGCCCCGAGCACGATCGCCGGGGCGGCTGCATGACTAGAACGACCCGCGCCGTGGCACAGGTAGAGTAGAGAGGGCCGCACACGCGTCCTTGCGGGCGGCCCGTTGTGAAGGATCGAGCGCGCCGAAGCGAGGCGTGCTCGTGTTGCAAGTGTCGCCGCCACCGCTGCACGCGGGCTGGGCTATCGCCTGCAGGATGAGGCTAAAAGAGGCATAGTTCCCCGCGTAGAGCACATAGCAAAAGGACTCCCAATCTAAGCAAAGCCAGTTGCTCCATCCGGATGACGCATCAGAACTGAGAAATTTCCGTTGACAGAGAGCTGCTCGGTGTGACGACGTGTGGTGTCCATCCCAAATGCGCCGCTGGCGCACTGTGGGGCGGGGGGGGAGGTCAAAGCGAGTCGCCCAGGCTCCCTGCTGGGCGGCTCGCGTCGTGTTTGTAACGGTTCGAAGAAGCTCTTTGTTCACGGTTGCACCGTGAACAGGAGATTGGTCGAGGCTATGCACAAGCGATGCGCGTAGACTCCGTGTGGCTCTGGGCTGCAGCCTGTTAGAGAGCCGAGTCGCTTTAATAGCACGGCCGGGCACGGTCGTACCTCGCGTGCCCTCTGTGCGAATTAAAACTCCTGGGCTCTCAATGCCTAGCCCGCCGTTCTGTCAGCCGCGGCCCGCATGTCCAGACAGTGCGGGCCTCGACGCCACACTAGGTCCATTGGGTTGAACCCTGGCTTGTCTCGAAGGTGAGGTATAGAGGGTCACATGGGGAATGCGAACTCGTCATGATGCGCGGCGACGGCGGCGTCGATATCTATCGACGCCGCCGCCCCACTTGTCTTCCTTCTCGGAAAGTTCGCGACCGAGTCTTTAGACTCGCTCGCGCGGCGCGCATTGACATATATTGACTGTGCGCATCCCCATGTCGAGCGCAGCTCGAAGTGCCGGCTGGCCTCTTCTTGAGTGCCCTGACGATTTGTGGTCATCCCGACTACGGAATAACACGTGTTCTGTCGCCCCGTTCCGGAGGAATGCCGACAGGAGTGATTTGTTACTTGTGCAATCCGTGCAGGCACACACCCTCACAGACTGCACTACGCCGCGAGGGTTCTTGCTGACCTCACGCCGTTAAGATAGCTGCGTGCGCTGGCACTCAGACAAGACACAACCAGGACACCCCTCTCCCGGGGGGCCGCTGGCGTCCGGGTCCCCAAACAGCCCGAGGGCCGTGTTGGTGCTTCCACTAGTGCAGTTCGAGTGCAGTGCGCCTCACAGGCTGACACCGCACACCGTCTCGAACTGTCCTCGACGCCGCCAGTGGCGGGCCGACGGCAGGGTAGGGGCCGCAGGCCGTGCTTCGAGGCGCAGGCTCTACTGCTCATTCATGGCTCCGCACTCCGCTCCGCGCGGCGTGTTGAGTATGGCTCACACCAGCAGCCAGACGGCTGCTGGTGGATGCTCGCGCTCCCCTCGCGCCGTCCTTGGCACGAGAGGGCGGGTTGATGCTCAAAAATATATTTTTTCCGTGCAACAAAGAAATACCCGTGTAATCACGCTCATGTACCCCCGAGCTCAAGTTTTGGTGGTCCGATC